CATAATCAGTCCAGAGTTTTCACTTAGACTGTGAGTGTGGAGGAGAAGGGTTGGTGTTTGTTGCCTGTACTGTGATATCTACGTCAGTGTCATTTTCTAATCAGTCACACAGCAGATGATATTTGTGGGTCTCCTAAAATTACTATGCAGCATTTTTGTTGTTGTCTACTTTTTGTTTTTGTTGCATGATTACACTTAACAGTTAAAATGTTAAAACTACTTGAGATCATTTTCAACAATGATTCTGGTGAAAGCTTAACTTAATGCAAGTGCTCATACTAACTGTACTGGTTATAACTGTGATCTTTTCAGGGTAAAACTCAGTGCTCTGGTGTTTTCCTTTTTTCAAACATGTATCTGCACACTGTTGACAGGCTGAAGTAGAAGAGCCCTGCATACGTAGAACAAAAACCATCGAATTAACCAAGCTTAAGTAGTATTGAAACCCCAAGCCATACCTCTTGTTGTGCTACAATGCCTCACGACAGTATTGTAGCATTGAATAGTGACCCCTACTTATGAAAAATCCAATAAAATGTGAAACTATTCGTTTTTTATTATGCAACACAGAAAGAAACTAGGAAAAATTTGGCGCGGCTTAATTTTAGAAAATGTTCAATGATGGTAAATTACGAAACTAGGAGGGCAATCAGTAGAGCGCATACCTCCGCCAAGGCCTAACAGTCCCCTTAAATTCAATTAAGCCGCACCAAATTGCACACACTCATCGATATCAGTTCACTAAATGTGCCTGATTTTCATCAAGATCCGTGTTATTCCCTGTGAAAACAGTGAAAATATTCAAAAATGCCATCTCAATTTTTAACATATTTAAAACAACAGAACAATCTTTGATGCCAAAATGTCATGGATGCTTCCTTGGCCCATTCCACATCCTTCCACCTAGTTTCAAGAAAATCAATTTATTTGTTTTTGCATAAATCCTGCTTACAGGCAAACATCTATGAAAACAACCTCCTTGGCGGCGGTGATAAAGTCAAGCTTTAGGTTATTATAGAGTGGTAAGAGCACACTTAAAATGGTTTTCACTGCCACCAGTGTTTTTAAATATGCAAGTTGTTGCCATTAAATCAACTCACAGCAGTTACTTCTAATCAGGAGAAAATGACCGCATCATGTCGGGGAGTCTCTGTCAGTGCAGTAAAGCCTCTCCCTCTCCCCTCTCTGTCGTTTTACTGTGGACTTACTTTGGTAACAGTTTCCCTCTCGGGGCTCAGAACTCTGGAAACCATTTTTACTAAGATTTTAAAAAGAAACCTGTCAAATGCCTGGAAAGCAGCATTTGTTACTGTAAATTAATTTTATAAGTTAACAAATAAACCTCTCTTTTGTCTTTTTGTTATATTATTGATTTTTGTTATAAATGCAGCTATATATTGATACCTGATTATCATGTTGTTAACGGATGATGTGCAGATCTTTAACTGTTACAAATATAGATAACATTGAATGTTATATCCTTGCAAGAGTTGTTTTCCCTTGGTAGCAGGCTCCGTGTTCTGCATGTACGCTGTCCGAGAAGGCGAACAGAAATCGAGAAATGTGGAAATCTCATCTTTAAATAATATAACATTAATTATAATAAATGTTTTATCAACTCAAAATTGCCTCGTTTGTATATTTGTCTTGTCCATTCTCTGCTGTCAATATTTACGTCACGTTTTTTATCCTGTTTTCGTGAACAGGATAAAGTTTCATATTGAAGCAGTAGCAGCCCGTGTTGTGGAGGCATGGAGACAGCCAGGTAGAACAGCGGCTTTATTGTCAATGTTTCAATAGCAAAGCCGCAGTTAGTCGATAATACAAAGCACTCTTACAAACTTAGGAGGTAGTCGACGCTGAGCCTTCACTGAGCATTTGAGTATGCATAGAGAAACACTATGGCCATATTGACTCTGTTTCAAATGTCTCTGCTGCAGACCTAAATCTCCCTGGTTTCTGTTTGCAGTGCAGACTTGTTTCTTTGTTGTGCTATTGTAACTAAGCATTTGCTTAGAGTATAAAAAAAAATCATACCATATCTAAATCATATTCAGACCAACATATACATAATCATCAGTATATAACACAATCACACAAATAGATACTTTATATTATATGCTTCCTATAATGCTTGATTATTGACTTATGTAACCCAATTGGGGAATTTTACTCAAAGTTTGGCAATTGCATGAATTCTGTTGGATTACATAAGTAAATGAATGTTACAGTTACAGACAAATGAGGGGTGCCTCCCCCTCCTCACCTCACTCAAGCATCTTTATACAATTTTTTTTGTGCGCTTGAATGTTTCGTCCAGCTCCCCGATCATCCCCTCTACATTAACAGGCACTCCGTGGGTTGCATGCCCGCAGCGCCACCCCAGCCAGGGTTCTCCAGGCGAACGTGGAGAACTTGGCAGGGCATGTTCCTGCTCGGCTGATATATGATGACGCAAGCCGGTGGAGCCGCTTTGCTCCGAAGGTGTTGTAGTGTCCAGGGAGGACTTGGTCAACCTGGTTAATGAAATTGCCAGTTGTGAGACAAATGGTGACCAGTACATGCAACATGAAATCATCTGATGTAAAAATGCTGAAGACTTTTTTTTCTAGGTTAACACTGATTGGTAATTATGAGTGCATGGTACATAAGGATGATGCACATACAGCTGAAAACCTAATGTTGAAATTTACAAGGTAACTATTTTAACATATTTTCTCAGCAACATAAATCTTCCAGAGAAGCACAAACTATAAAACATCTTTATCACTGAAGATGATGCACAAAAGTCAGCTCAGCACATAAAATGTAGAAAGATACTTCTGGTCAACAACATAATTTCAGGGCCATAAAATTCAATTAATGACCCAAGACACAAAGACAGTGGAGCTGTGTGTGTGTGTGTGTGTGTGTGTGTGTGTGTGTGTGTGTGTGTGTGTGTGTGTGTTTCAGTGTTACCTGTTCGCTGTCCACCAGCCCCACCAAACGCTCGCAGCTACTGATGTAATCACTGACACGGCTGTAGGGCAGCCAGTCAATCATGGCGCCGTCGTACACCACGTCTCCGCTGAAGAGCAACTTGTTGTCTCGGTCGTGGAGGCAGATGCTGCCCCGAGAGTGACCGGGCATGTGGAGCACCGTCAGCTGCCGGTCACCCAGGTTGATGACATCTCCTATAGACAGGAGAGAGGGAGAGTCTGGATCATATGTTCACAATTATTCGCACACACCAAAATATGACTTTCACCTTTGGACCACATCACATTCAAACCTGGGTCAGACCTGCATTTGTGTTTTCCAAACCCTACATCATCATCATGTGCAGCATCTTGGCGTTCAGTATGTATAAGTCCCACAGTGTGACACAGGGGGTGAAAGTGACAGAGTCTGCAACGAGGTATTTTAACTGCACTGCAGCAGTGGCTCTGACACAGCAGAACAAGTTGGTGTATTGACGGTGCAGGCTTTACACTGTGTAAGAATACCAAAGAGGCTAACTGGTAAAGTTTCAGTCCAAATGCTGAGAAAAGCAGTGCTCGTACCAAATGCAGCATCCACACCATCTACATCTACTTCTTCTGGAGATTGATTAGGTGTGTATCTGCTAATAACATGGTGTGCGATGGGGAAATCAGTGCTGTGGGGATGTTAATATTCGAGTCTATGGGATGTTTTCCGTAAGTGTGTGGCCAGTCTTTGCTTCTTCCTCTCTTTGATGTAACAGAATCTGCAGCCCGGCTTAAAATAGAACTGCTCTGCAAGGAAAGATAACAAAGGCATAAAAAAGCTGCCAAAGAATCAGTCACACATTGTCTAGAAAACAATGAATTACTTTGCTTAGGATGCTCAAGCCTTGACAGATAACCTCTTTGCACTTTTTACATTTCATTATATGTAATGAGACATTTAAACCTGAATAATAATCTATCAAATGTTCCCAATATCCTTTGTATTTGTGTGCACCATCTGTCCATCTCCTTACCTCTATATGTGTGTGTGTGTGTGTGTGTGTGTGTGTGTGTGTGTGGTGTGTGTGTGTGTGTGTGTGTGTGTGTGTGTGTGTGTGTGTGTTACAAGCCATTTCTGGTCTCCTGCCAAATGTATTGTGCAGTAAGAGCCTCCTGTGGGGATGGAGAGGATTCAGAGTGGAACATAATGTGCATACTGTGCAAACTACAGCAAGGCGCAGCCATTAACTCTTCTATCATGCTCATCACCAGATAAATGCATTCAGACCTTATGACCTGGCCCTCGATCACAGAACCACCATCCATCCACAAGTCACACCTGCAGAGGAGGCCTGTCCTCCGCGGTACCTACCCTCCTGCAGGATGTGAGTGGGCTGCACCGCCTTCACTTTGTAGTGCCTCGCCCTCCATCCCGGGGACGGAGCCTCGGCGATCTCCCGGTCGCTGAGCCAGGTCACCGTCTCGAAGTTGTCGCCGTTGGCCAGGGCATCGACCTCGGCGCTGTGGACGCCCACCTGTTGGAACTGATGCAGACCGCCCGAGTGGTCGAAGTGGGCGTGGGTGGCGATGGCCAGCAGCGGGTTCTTCCTCTGCGGGTCCTTGCCGAGCAGCCCCTTGGCGTCGATGTACTCCGGTAAGCTCCTCAAGCCCAGACCGGTGTCGACGACCACGTCCTGGTGCGAGCCGCGCAGCAGCCAGATGTTGGCGCGGTTCTCCGACTGGAAGAACCGCTCCTGGATCCAGAAGAGTCCGTCTCCGAGCGACTTGTGAGCGTACCAGTCGGCTGCAGACATCCCACTTCATGCGCTTGTCGCGGTCAGCCGGTGCGGATTAACGTGGCTGTCAGCTGTACCTGCAGTCAGCTGGAATTAGCCTCTTGAGCTAACGGTGCTATGTTTTCATTCAGGCCGATGTGATGGTGGCCGCTGGCACGCCCTTGTATAAAGAGATCGCGCTGATTGGGCGAACCGGCGGGAGACGTCATTGTAAACCGTGCTACCATTAGTTGTAAAAGACACCACGCCTCTCTGTCGTCACGCGCGGGGCGGGGTTGTTTAAAGCCACACTTCCACACGCGCTGAGTGAGCAGAGTGTGTCCACGCCGGTGTTAGCAAACAGCAGCTCCACAGCAGATCTAGCTTTAAGTATCGTGATCTAACAAGTTCTTTAAGGTGCAGAACAACAGACAACACCCCGCAACTGACTCTAACACGTAAAGTCAAAACATGGAGGCTCAGTAGAGGCTAAAAGCCGCTGAGTGGATCTGAAGCACATGGACTTTTAGGAGCTTACATCTCATCTAGTGCAGTTTTCACTAAACGCTCCCCTAGTGAGTATCCACATCTTCCTGTAAGTCAGAGGGGACACGTCGACGCTGTGTTTTAACGTTGTTGTGGTCCGCACACACAGAGCACATGTTCAGGCTGACGTTGACATGTGGACTCTGTGCCGCAGGTGACAAGCAGACATGGCAGGCAAGGGTCGAGGAGTCGCTGCCTTCACCTTCAACATCGAGGCTCTGGGCATCGGAAGGGGCAGCATGCCAGACGCCAGGGTGGGGCCCAGTCCTCTGTTTCCAGTAAGTACTGTAGTCACTCTCTCTCTCTACACACACACACACACACACACACACACATTCTTGTACTTTTGTGTGAGTGAGTACAGAGCGATTTGCATTATCCATTCCCCTGGCCCCTTACACTAACCATCACAACTAAATGCCTATCCCTATCCCTAACCTAACCTTTACTCTAATATAAAAAGAATTCTAACCCTTAAACCAAGTCTTACCCCACTCCATAAGGTCCAAGCTCCAAATAGCCCTCACAAAGATATCTGCAGTACACACACACACAATCAATACACATGTGTGCACACACACACAGTTTTTCACAGCTATCCTTAAAATGAAAGTTCACTCATTATCTCCTCACTACTATGCCGATGGAGGGCCAGCTGAAGTGTTTGAGTCCACTAAACACTTTTGTAGTCTCAGGGGTAAACAGTGTTGCAGCCAAACCCGATCCAATTGAAGTAAACGGGACTCCTTCTTCAGACGTGAAAAAAACTAAAACTAAAAAAATGACATGCCTCCATACTGCTCATGTGATGTCACCTAAGTGTACGCAAGCTCCGGCATTCATATTCGCCCCAAAACGTCTTTTACACCATTTTCTAAAGGCTCAGTGTGTAAAATTTAGTGACATCTAGTGGTAAAGTTGCATGTTGCATCTGAATACTGCTTACCTCACCTCCCCTTCCAAACATGAAGGAGAACCTGTGGTAGCCTTCAGTATTCATAAAAACTGAAAAGGTGTTTAGTTTGTCCATTGAAGCTACTAGGAAATACATGGCGGCCTCCATAGAGAGGAATCGCTCCTGATGTAAATTAGTATTTATTAAGTATTTAAATATAAAGGGCCCATTCTAGTGAAAAGACAGCAGCAATTCATACAATTTAGATGATTCCACAGTAGTGAAAATATCGATAGGATTATTTTATATTAAATTTCTGCCAATGGATCCCTTTCACCAAAATCTTACACACTGGACCTTTAAGCCTAAAACCTCCTCTGATATCCTCCTCAGAGCAGCTTTCACCTTTGCACGCACACACTGGAAAAGCTGTCTAAGTTAAAATGCTTGGTGTAATAATTAAAGTTGGGTAAAAAGAATATTTGTCATGTTCAAGTTAACATGGTTTGGTTTCACATGGCGGCCTTGACTCCTCTTCATTCTATGTGCATTGTGTAAGTATCCTCCTGCATAACATTGCCCTTTAAGCTCATTGCACTGCACGACAGATTGATTATATTTTGCTCACAGGCCCGGAGAACAACCATGACATTGTGATTTGATGCATTACTTAACAACTTTGCATTCAATCTGATAACCATAAACTACAGGACATGCCCGGGGATGTTGAGGCCCCTGAGGGTCAATTTTGCACATTTTCTACTTTGTTTAGTTTGAAGGACCTCGGAATTTATGTTTCGAGCTCCCCTGACAACTGGTTCACAAATTTCAATTTCTGCATTTAATTATTTGTTCAATATTTTTAGGCACTTATTTCTAAAAAATACTACAAGGCTGTGCACAATTACTTGTCATACTGGAATCCAACATAATGTGTATTTTAACTGTCACTTTATCATCGCAATCAGTTTGGGTTTAGCATCAGTTTGGTAGAATTTTGATTCCCACTGGAAATCTTTTTTTTTTGTTAACATATGATGAAATTGCCATAATATCAATTCAAACTGAAATGTAATCTGTTGAAGAAAAAATAGTTTCCATAATACTTATCTGCTCCATGGTGTTGATCAAGGGTGAATACATGAGTAAGAATGAATTGCTGTTAATTTCCCCTCCACCATCCAATCTTCTCCAGAGCACAGATTTTAAACCAGTGCCGCTGAAAGCTGGCGAGGAGGAGAACTACATGTTGGCCTTGAAACAGGAGATGAGGGGAACAATGCAGCGGCTGCCGCACAACATCAAGCCTCAGAGTAATAAAGCAGGTGAGGAGGAGAGGAGTGCATTAGAAACCTGACATCTGATAGAAACGCTATGGCAAGACAATGAGCTGCTGTGAGCAGAGATAATGCAGCACTTAGGAAGTGAGACGTTTAATTTAGGGTCATATCTGGGAAAAGGAAGAGAAAGGCCGACTTCTGGTCGACTTCTGGTCGAGATATTGAGTTACAGCTGCTGTCTTATCTGGATGCTTTAATATGATTTCTATGGTCTGCCCTTACGAGTCTGTCAGAGTTCCCTTGGTTAACAGTGAGTTAATATGTCCACGAGTAGTAGATTTCATTTTTTCTTTTGTTTTTTCCTTTTTATCGATGAAATAGTTTGACAAGAAGCAAATAAACGGGTGACATAGAAGATGGACACAATCGGCATAGATACAGATAGAAATAACATAAAGCAGTTACAGTGATGAATGCTGTAATATTCAGATTGTTTGGAGCTCAGGATTATATCACATTAAGTAGGGCATGTGCAGGGAAGGTGTGTTGAGCATTGATATAGTTATACATTACGTAACAGTAATAATTTCCTGAATTTGTTTCTCAGTTTGTTCAGATGCAGTTTGTTCAGATGCTTTATTTAGATGCTTCTAGTCAAATACATTTCCTGGCAACCTATGAATATGTATATAACACTGACATGTGACTCTATAGTTCAAACATATATGTGACTTAACCCACGACCAGTGTGATGTGAGAGTTAACTGGGACTTGTTAAAGCATATTGAGATAAAATTTGCTTTTGATTTTCTTGAAACAGAAGTAGAACGATACACGGAGCGATACCTGAAGCACAGCCAGGTGCTCAATGAAGAATGGACTCCAGGTACTTACGTAGAACAGTGTAATGTGATTAGATCAAACTAAGAAAAAAAGGAAAATAAAGCATTCTTTCTTTTTTAGACTGGAACCTTTTCCCAAAAGAACTGATGCCCCAGAAGAAAAAACCCCGGGTTAAAGCAGGTATTTATTAAAGCCAAGTATCTAATGATATTTTAAACAATTCTAAAAAGTAATTTTACAATCCTGTAAGCACGAGGATTAAAGACAAAATGCTTAAATCCAACAGGAACAAAGAAAACAACGAAGGTGTCACGCAAAGACTCGGAGGACATATTGAATAAATTAGATGTAAGCTTCTCATCTTTTTAATCTGTGTTCAACTACTTCACATTATGCAAACTGTTGATCTCATACAGAATTATCATGGGTGAAGGCGTCATGTTAGAGCAGTCTGTTTGAGCTCAGGATGTATATGTGCTTATGAGCCAGCATATTTCACACAAATAATTTAATCCTGTCAACATTTCAGGAACTGGCAAAGAAAGATGACGGGAACCCTGAAAAATCTGACGACGAGAAGGAAAAGAAGAAGGAGAATGAGGAAGAAGAGGAAATAGAAGGGGAAGAATACGATGAAGAGGATGTTGAAGAGGTTAGATTCAACATTAGAACCTGAAATCTTTATTGCAATGTTTTTTTTAAAGTTGACTGAATTGCGGTCGATATGCAAGACTGAGTTTGATTTCCTCTGTCTCTCTGTAGGAAAACGACTATATAGATAACTATTTTGACAACGGGGAAGATTTTGCTGCAGGCAGTGACGACAATATGGATGGTGAAGCGACGTACTGAGACAACACAAGACCGTGGAAACCAAGCAAGTGTTGACTGTCGAAGCAAATTATCATTGTGATTATTTCTATTAGTTACATATTGTAGATAAGTTGAAATTTCTATTCAGCAGAGTGATAGTTTAGTTTGCAGTAGTTTTTTTGTGTGTGCGTGTGACTTTTGAGAGGTAGTCTTTCCTTAATGACTTCTGTAAATGAGAAATGCCAAACTATGTGCACACAGGCAATAATTTATTCAAAATAGATTTATTTATTATCTAACCGGTAGCACTTTTCCACAGGTTGAAAGGCACATACTGTCAACAACACAAACTGCATAAAATCATAAAATGTCATAAAATATAAACACGGTGATGAAATAAAAGGGCTATAACAAAGTCTAACATTTCACATAATTACAAGTATGAGTCATTGTGGGAATACTGTGCATTTTCCTCACCATGCTCTTTAGTTTTTTTAATGAATTTTTTTTAACGAAAACAGTAAGTTCAAGAAAGAAAAATTCAAACAAATCATGTGGAATTTAATTTAATTGGTAACTCCCAATACTGATAGTGTAGTGAAATAAATTAATTCTGTATCGAACATAATGGCAGCATTCATACTTTTCCAACTAATGGTGTTGGATGTTTTACATGGAAACAAGTACAGCTTGACCAATCTGAGTAATTCTGTGGATTTGGTGTTTAAATAAAATCCACAGAACTGATCGTCGTACGTTTTGGTCACTGATCCATCGCTGTGGAAACTGTTGGGAGTTTTTCTCTCACGTGGTCTGTGTGGAGCTTCCTGAAAATGCAGCAGCCCAGATGACAAAAACATCCCAGGTTCTCCTGGCTTTGCTGATGACACAAACTCTGAGAGACATCGGTTCCAAAAGCGTTCAACCCTTTGTAACGTGTCTGTCAAGAGCGACACATCTGGCAGAGACAGCTGGATCTGTTTCCAGCCCGAAGATGCTGCTTGTTCAAAAGCATAAGACTGTGGACCGACACAGGGCATTATGTGGCCTTTACCCTTATTTCTGGTCTCTCAACCATATAAAAGACTGTCTGAATCAGTCAGATTGCATTGATGTAGTAAGTCAATATGTGAACGCCAGTTTATTAGGTCTCTCAGCTAGCAACAAACTTGCATATAAAATTTCAATCCCTTGCTATGTTTTCTCATGGCCTCCATGTCCACCGTCTCCTGCTTTGTCCACATCCAGTTCTGAAGGATCTCCTTTAACCATACTTCCATCAAGATGTCCAGGCCCGGCTCCTGCATTGTTGTCTTCTCCAGCAGGAGGGTCAATCTTATCGCCATGGACATTTACATTTGACATGCTGCCATTGGCTTTTGTAGGGACGCCATGATGGCTGACATCAGCTTTCACAAGAACCTCATAGTACAGCAGATAAAACACAGGTGTGACAATACCAACAACCAGCATGATGGCCACCGCCATCCACCATCTCATGCCCCAGTCGGCGCCGTAATAGGGGTCCTTTCTCTGTGCTGGTTTATACTCGACTTCTGCTAGCAGTGGCTGCTGCTGTTGCAGCGTTAAGGAGGACACCACCTCATTCAGGTTGCTTCGAGACGGGCCTGTGGATTTCACCAGCCGCTCAATGTCCTTGTCCTTCTCCAGGAGGAACCCTTCCACGCTTTCGGTAGAAGAAGAGTCTGTGGAGGACTCGGAAGGGAGGGAGGTAACGGGCGAGATCTGAGGCAGGCGCCTGGGACCTGAGGGCGAGGCAGATTTCAGAGGACCAGCGGTGTGAGTCTCTGTGAGGACACTGAAGCGCCTCACAGGAATCTTAACTGATCGCAGGGCAAAGAAGTCCTGCTCTGTCAGGAGATTGTTGGCACGCTTGATGTCAGCCACCTAGAGAACAAAAAGAAGAAAGATGCATTTAGTTTACGCTGAACGTTATTTAAAATGTATGTCCTATGAATACTTTGCATTCTGACCCAAATCCACAATCTCATCCATTTACAGATTAAATCGTTGAGTCATTTAAAAGCCAAGAAAGCTTTTAATGAGTGGGCTTGGTTTCAGCATATCCATATTGTAAAATTAGTTTGAATAAGCTCCTCTGTGTCCTGATGTAACCTCTTTCGTTATGGAAAGGTAGTTCAGGATTCAAAAGACTTGTTAAACTAAAACACGTGATTTCTGCAGTGGAATTCATAGTTTAAATCCTGCCACCTGTATGTTCTGCTCAAACGTTGTCCCTCATCTGAATGTTTCAGACATTATTACGTTGCTGTGAACACGTCAATCTCCTGCTTTGTTTTTGATAAGTGAAAATTTTCCGGAGTCCATGTCCGAAAACTATTTGTGTGTTACATAACGCGTCAACAGGAAAATAATTGTCTCGCTCAATATGGAAATGAAAGGAAGACCTGCACAGAAATGCAAACACACAATGATCTAGGATCCAGACGTACTGAGCAATGATACTGCAGGGAAATGCTGTTCAGGGTGTCGCCCTCCTGGATGTCCTTGCTCAGGTAGATAATGTCCAACCGCTCTCTGGACGTGCTCCTCCGTAGCCTCTCTCTTCCACGAGGCCGCAGCTCGTAGATCTCGCCATCCTCCTCCGACAGGTCATTCTCTGAGCCATTGTTTCCAAAGAGATAGGCATGACCGCCATTGGAAGGCTGCACCATGGTGGCTGACTGGAACCCATAGTGCTGACTTCTACTGGACATCTTTGTTCACTGTATTGGGAGGAGCAAAGATAAACTTGAGTACCTTGTACTGTGTGCTCTGTATTGATAACAGCAAGGTACACTTTACCCAGAAGAGCTTGTTTGATCGAGTACTACAGTGAGTCGGATCTCATGGTTATCTAAGCGAAGGGCTAACACAGGAGCTGGAATCTAGACTATGGTATGCACCTACAAACCTGTTTTACTGCAAATAGAAAGGTTTGGCTTCAAACCATTTGCTGTACATGTGACTGTGGAGTCATTGTGTTCAGCAGTTTGAACAGATGTATGGTAAAGATTACAGTAAACATCTACAGTAGGAATCTGACACTACAATGATAGAAAGAGACGTGTGGAAGCTGCCACCATGCACAAGAAACCATACAGTCCCTTCTCTGTGACGTGTAATCAGCAGCAGCTACGTTCACCTACAGTAATAACACGTTTCATCCCTGGCAGCACAATCAGTCCTCAGATGTCAAGGTCCCCTCTTTACGTAACTGCTTACGTTGCCCATCACTAACATGGGGACACCATTAGCTAACGTTAGGTCTCATCAGATAACGTCACACATCTGTTCTTCAGTTCAGCTGCTGGGAGCAAATCTGAGCACGTTTCACTCCGACTTTTACCCAAACGCCAGATTTCTGAGCAAACGTAAGATGGCTCAGTTAGCATGAAGCCACCCAGGGTGCTAGCCACCAGCTCACCATCACTCCTCCGTATCAAGCATGCATTAACCAACTGAGCTTGTACAGTAAAGTGGCTAAACCCCTCTTTATATACAGTCTATGCTAAACCCCCACGTTAGCTCTGTTTTTGTGTAGCACTTAGCTTAAAAAACAAACTGCTGCTGCTGCTACACCCCATTCTTCCTGTACTTGGCACACAAGAGTCCAGTCGTCGATCGGCTTTAAAAACACGTTTCCCTAAGCTAACGAGTCAAAGAGTTTCAAATAGAGATCGGTCTTGTGCTAATCAAAGTGTAACACTTGGCTAACTTAGCAAACTGAGGACTGCGTCTGGACAAGCTAAGCAGGAGCTAACTAATATCCGACTGTTGTGTGGCTGGTTCGCACAGTTGAATGCTAACAGATCATACATTAATAAAAAACGTCTTTAGCAACTGTCGTTACCTGGAAGAAGTGAGCGCCGATCAATCAGTTGTGCTGAGTGAAATCCATCCTGCTTCTTCCAGGGGATTAGCTTCAGCCTCACCTTGGTGTGTTACCTGCCTGCTAGCTGCTGCTGTTAGCTGCTGCTGCTGCTACTGGAGCTCACGCCACGTCAACACCATACCAACGTGATGACGTTACCACCAGTGCCCCCCCCCTCCCCCCGCTGCCAACCCCTCACTCTCCAACACAAGTTGGCGCTATACTCCAGTTAATAGCTGGTAGAGTCCGTGTGTTTTAGTGATACAGATGAAAGAAAATTATATTTAAAACCTTTTGAATATCATTTTAAAACCTTTCACTCTCAGAAAACTTTTACAAATGTTTGATTTACATCTGTTTTCATTTGTTTCATTCATTTTACTGCGTTATGTGGCCATCATGCTTTCAGTCAACTGCCTTGTCTGGTTTGTTTTTCATTTTTGACTTCTTGTTAAGCACCTTGTAACCTTGTTAAGTATAGTGCTGTGTGAATTATGATTATCATTGTTATATTAAATATAGGATTTGTGGAGGGTGTATGCAGGAGAAACTCAACTACTGTAATTTAAAACTATAAACTAACTTTAGATATAGATTAAATGATACAAATTCTACTCTAAATAATTTAAAACAATAGGTCAATATTTACAATGGGTATTTTTTTAGTGAATTCATTTAAAAATTGTTAGAAATTTAGATTTTTATAAACGTCCATTAGAAATTTGTGAGAGTACTGAAGTCAGGGGCAGATACAGAGGCGAGACCAGGGGGACACTGGCCTCAGTTACAATCTGATTCATCTGATTGGTCCCTGAAGTGCCCCTTTCCTCTCAGTAGTCACCAATATAAAAACTAGTCACAAATATACTAACAATAGAAAGGACAGTTTGTTAAGAATTGTTATTTGTAGGAGTTTTTTGACTATATTGACTGATGTGTGGCTTTGCTCATAGTTATTGAGTTAACAATACAAAAATAATTACTTAATTGTGTACCTACTGAATCAGGAACTGTGTATGGGTTTTACATTTATAATTGGCCCCTCTGTCTAAATTGTGGCCCCTTTAAGACCCCTGATATAGAAAAATGTGAGCTCTGCCACTGATGGCTGGTAGAATCCTTGCTCTTTAGCAATAAAAGTTTATGTGTGGATATCATACTCTAGATTAATTTCAAAATATAGGAAAATAATTTAGAGAATGAATTTAAAGCTGTTTTAAACGTAAAAACGTAAAACCACGTGCATGTGTGTTCTTTAGAAAACCGTGTGAGGTTCTAAGGTACAGAGCTTCGCATTTATTGCAAAGTTAATGGTTGGTGCTGTATCAGAGAGGGTGCATGCACCTGCTCGGCCCACGGGGCGGCGCTGTCCTCCAGCACACTGTGCACACCCACATGAGACAAATGGGATTAAAACATCTCGTCTCATTAGGCTTCGACCCGGAGACGAGCTGGAGGAGCTGCAAAGTATAATCTGCTGGCTCAGGGACTCCTGTGTGTACATGAGCGGCTCTCACATGGCTGCAGGAGCCCGGAGCTGCGAGTAGAGAAGAGACGGAGAGAGAGAGAGAGGAGGAAGAAGAGGAGGAGGAGGAGGAGGTCCTGAAGAGACCCGGGGAACCCTCTCAGTCTCTGTTGTTGCTCCCGGCTCCAGCGCGTCATCCCACCGGGAACACAACGCTGCCGGATGCAGGACGGACTCCAGCAGGTTTCCCTTCTTTAAAACCAAGACATATAAGAGAAAGCTGCGTGTGGCTACTGCTGAGGAGGAAGAGGAGGAGGAGGAGGTGAAGACGCGCTCATCGATGTTGACCCCAGCGATAATAAAGATCCTATAGCAGTTTATATTGGACAGAGAGACCAAGCAAGGTGTCAGGTAAGATACGCAGATTTATTCTGTGTGTTTATTCTCAAACACGTGGTTGTCACTGTGATCGGACCGTCACGTGTAAAACTTTGTTGTGTTGATGGGGATGATGTCTCCTTCACAATGTGCTGGAGAAGTGTTGGATGGGTTTTGCAGTGGTCCAGTCACTTTCATGAAATGTGACTGCATTGGAAGTAGCGGTAGATTAATAGCGCTCAGGATAAAGGAAACAAATGAGCTGAGATGCAATTCATCAATAATGCCAGACAGCTCCAGCAGACCTATTGTTTTACACTATAAGAAAACGATTAAAAGTGCTTGGCCACCGCTAATTTCTTTTTGCGCCGTGCCAAAAAAAAAATCCCCCCCTTGGAGCTGCAGCTATAATAAAATTGAAAAGCCTAAATATTGATTCAGCGCAATCGGTAAATGAATGGCCGGGCAGCCCATTGAGGAGGGAGACAAACGCTTCCATGGTTACATCCAGGATCTCCAGTGTGATTACTGCGCTTTGTGTGCGTTTCTCCGTCTCTCCCTCTCCCACTGAAATACAACAACAATTCAGGAGAGGAGGGGGAGACCCGCCACACATGGTGAGCCGGAGACCCCCCTCACATAAAGGGCTCCCTTCACTAATCTATAGGCTTACTCGGACCATAAGTAATCTTGGCACACTTGGAGTTGCGCACATGTGCTGATACTGTTAAATAAACGAGTGGTGCCCGCAGCCCCATTGTGTGTTGCGTATTTTACGCACATGCTCAAGGCTCCTTAATTCACACTGTGTTGATGGGATTGGATTTTTTTTCCCTTTCAGTCTCTCTGAATAATTGAATGTGTCCACCTTGACATGATGTCATCTCGGTGCGTCCTTCGCAAATCTCCTTTGTTGCCTCCTCTGTGGAGCCGAGCAGAGTTAAATCCTTTTTCTCTCACATGGGGAGGAACAAGGGAGGGAGCTGCTTCTGTATCCATTCAGCACTCACACCTGCTCAGCCTCAGCGCCAGCCCTCACTATTAACTGTCTCTGAAGTGTATTTATTCAATCAAACGAAGAATTACAGTCTTCTCAGATTTTTTTTTCCAAAAAACGAAGCAAAATTTGCCATGAAACGTGCTATGATTTTAATTCCTTAAAACCTTAACTCCCAGTTTCCATCATCACATAACACACATGTCACGGTCAGTCTGTTTTTTTTGTACATTTGGACCCTCACTTGCTCAGAGCCCATGCAGGCCCTTTGTTTGTCAGTGTTTATGTCACTGCCTGGCAGGGGTCAGCCCCCCAGTCCCCCGAGTGAGGGTCTGAATGTGATTCACTGGGCGGAAACTGTTTTACTGCCTGCTTCTCTCCCTTTCTGTCTCACCCCCCTAATGGCTGCATCGTACAAAAGGGGACATAGTGCCATAAACACAGCCTGCTCATTGATGAAAGGTGCTGAAGTGTTGCACAGTGCAGACAGGATGAGATTGATGTTCGCCTGCATGGGAGGAGAGGACGAGAATTCTGCGTGTGTGGGGATAGAGGGGACGCAAGGTTGACGGCACAGCTCCCCGTGAACTTCACCGGCCTGCAACAGGCTGTGCCCTCGTCACAGAGCGGAGAGCTGTAGAGGATGTCTTTGTCAGTGGAGGGAAGCATTTTTTAACAAAACTGAAATACATCATTGCACAGTTTTATAGCTACACAGACATTCACGATCCTTTGTGTTCCATATGAGACATATCTGCAATAGTCATTCTGAAACTCAAGGTAACACAAAATGTTATAGTTGTCCTCTCTTCAGTCAGTGTTCAGCGTTTACATTTACAAAACAGCAGACCTTTACCTATTACACACCTCCTGTTAGTTATGGTCTGGTTGCCATTTCCACACCTTTAGAGGATGAAGCGCTGTGCTTACATTCCCACTTCTCTCTCGAATTACAATTTTCTTCAGAAGGACGATGCAGTGGAATGATTCATAACCCTTTGGTGAAAGACAGTCCAGATTTACACCTTAAATCACTGGCAGCTGTCTTAACTCAATAAATTAGGTATTTTTTGCAGCAAGAGATCAGTTTATGTGTGCACAGCTGGGATGCGGAGAGTTTCCCCAATGCTTTTTGAATGCATTACAAAATGATTAGGGTTTGGGTTTTTTTGGTGACTTTTGGAATTAACTAGTTTTAAGTACACTGCTCTCTGCTGAGCATGCTGAGCAGATTAGATCCATCTTCTATGATTCAGAGATCTGCATTCTAAAATAAATTCCAGGCATCTCAGTGCTTTTTCTGTCATTTTGTATTTGTAATGCTCCTCGATTATGTGATATTTGGCCAATGTGGGAAAAAAAGGCAGCGCTGTGGGCAGACGGTATGATAGAGGAGACACTGAGGAGACCAGGCACGTGCAAACGAGTCAAATACAGAGACAAAACACAAATTTAGGAAAATGACTAACAGATTTATGAGATAAAATAAGGCAACCAATACCACTCTCATATAATTGATTAAATAACATTCACCATTTCCCCAGTGTCAAATAATACTGTTCGCAAGTCTATGCACATCAACCAGTTGTTGTCGACTGAAACGCTCGTGTCTGTAAACCCTGCTGACGATGATGTGAAGTGTCATATCCTGTTCTCTAGTAGACCTCCAGTTTGTTTTCAGAAATCATTTGACAGTTCATGCTTACGCACAGAAGACGGTGTCATGTTTTAGTAGTTGTTGTCCTTGGAGCAGAGGGACAGGAAAGTGGTTGGCCGTCGGCGGTGGCCAACAATCCTGAGGTCTCTTTAGTGGGCCTGACCAACCGCATATTGTTCCCGGTGAGAGGCTTCGAGTGCGATCGCTGCCACGACCTTGCTGTCAACTCTCATAATCGCACATTCTGACATACACACACTCATGTACACACGCAGACACACACTTGTTGTTATATCTCACGCTCTGTAGAGGTAACGAGGAGCCCTCCTACATTTGCCCAGCAGCTCCATTGAGAGTATTAAACTTGAACTCTGACCTCTTGTGATGTTGGAAGAGTCGGTGACATCAGACAGGTCAGTCTGCAGAGACATTCCTACCAGCAGTGGTGGAGGAAGAACTCAAACACTTACTATTCAAGTAAAAGTACAAATAGATAAACAAAATGTCAAGTAAAAGTACCACATGAACTCTTCGACTTGAGTAAAAGTAATTCAATTAATACTTGCTCTAAAATAGCTGAGCTGTACAAGTTTAATTCCAGCCATCATCAAACTATTGTCCAAAAAATAAGATTCTACTATCAAAAATAATAGAGCATTAATTTAATTTCTCATATTTGTAGAAACTAAATAAG